AACTAAAGTATTAAACATTGTTTCGGTTTTGGATACTGAAGTCGGGATGCATCAGGATTATTCCAACAAAAAAAAATAGGTTTTGTTCATGGTTACTTGCGCTGTGCTCATCCTGTTCTCTTCCTCCTCAACGTGGGCGACCCATAGACCGCACGAGTCAATGGTGAAGGTCTAATCTTATACTATTCTCGTCTTCAGAGTGGGCGATACTAATGCTCACACTCTACGTGCCAACACTGTAATCATATTCTATTCTTCAAGTATGTAATAGTCGTATACTGATTCTGATTGGGTTAGTCAATAGTGAAGATGACCAAACACACTTATTCTATCCAATACTCAAAATTAACACAACTTCTTTTTAAATCAAGACGAAAATCACTGTATTTTTAACCAATTTCTAATTACTCCATTAATTGTAAGAAAACCTTTGTTATTATAGAGACTTCAATGCGATGGATCACTTGTTAAAGTTTGTATAAGATTTGAGGTAAAATTCATGTTCAAATATACTTAAGACCTAAAAAAGATAAAGACGTTCTAGTCACATTGATAATCAAATCTTTTAAAGCTTTTCAAAACTAATGTTTCAATTCCACAAAAACCTCTGTGTACACGATGAAATCCAAACTAGTTATTAGTAGTTTTCAAGAATTCATTAGTTGTGTCATTCAAACAGCAGAAAACAGTATTAACATTTTCACCTTACACAACTTGTGATCACTTTTAATGCTGTATTTAGATAACGTCTCAACTTTATTATTGCAACCAATTGAAATGTAATTAGTGATTATTTTTGTAACACCAAGGTTGCAACCTTTCGTCATTGAATCGTTTAAAGATTATATTTTTAAAGTAAATATTTTGTAAGAAATCATACTGGACATACAATATATTTGTTTGATCACCTTATTAAATTAATTTGAAAATTTAACAATATTTTTAGAGTTTTCCCAATATTTTTCAGGACCATTTCATAATAATATTGATGTTGTCAAATCTAAGTTTGGGAAACACTGATCGATGAATCAGTTACTGAATCATAATGATCATTCATTATTGTTATGATAATAATCTCTGGTTGTTCACAGGCCGTGAAAGAAGTTAATTGTTAAAGCGTAGTTTTATGGAATACTATAAAAAAAAGTGGATACATAAAATATGCAGTTTTAATTAATCTGGAATGGTTATTGCGCGCGTGGATATATTACATTGTCAGCTGGTAACAGAACCAAAAAAAAATGAAGGCTCGAATGTCGAACGGGCCACTTGCTTTTTAGGTCGTCCGTTCCAGTTTCACCCTCTTCCCTCCTGCCCCGTGCAGAAGCTTAGTTTTAAGCAAACATTAATTATCAAAATGCACTTATCGCGCACAGTAATAGCAACAATTAATCAGACACCCCCTCGCGTCTGAAAACTTCATTGAAATTCAACCACGCTTCCTCCTCTTTTCTCTCCTTTAAACTAATCCGAGGAATACGGATCACGCGTTAAACTCTTTCTCTCGTCGCGTTATTATTGTTTAATCAAAGAGGTTAAATATAAGCACTCAACTGTTTGTTATTGTATCCGTTAAACCGAGATAAAGCGGTGTTTAGCACCAAACCAAATCCACGCCGAAAACCAGTGGGAAACCCGCTGCTGCTGCTGCTGCACAGAGAAACGCTTAATTCATAAACAGGCGTCTCTACATGTTTATGCGCAAGTTAGTAATGAGTTGTGCATCCAATTAAAATAATTTAACGTTACAAAAATTCCACACAGTTAATTTATTACAAACTCGTTTACTGCGTTATTATTTATTCGTTCTCGCTCTCCTGGCACATCCTCATGAAACCATTCTTTCTGTGGAGGAATAGCCTCGAGGTTAATCCCAAAAACGATGAGAGATTAACCAAATCATAATTACAATTAATCCAAGATCAGTGGATAATCCACAAATAAGCTTTTTGCAATATTTTTTTTTAGATAATTATTTAATTAAGGTTTTATTGGGCAACAGCGTTTATTTGCCACTAAATTGCATGGAATTAAAGTAGAAACTTTTCCTAACCGAGAGAAGAAACCTTGTACTTAATTTTCAGAAACGTCAGGTAATAGAGAAACTTTGGCTTCAAAACAGCAAAAAAAACTTGTAATATAAATAACATTTATAATAATTCACTTATTGAATCAATAAAATTTTCTTAAACAATTATAGAAATAAATAAATTTAAGCAATGAAATCGTGTCCTTCAAACAGGTTTATCAATTACATTATTTTTGCGAATATTCATCTCCGACAATTATTGTAATTAAGTAAAACAATAATATAAAAAAAATCGTATTTCATTGTTAAAAGTTTTGTTAATTCGTTTTGAATGTGTAAACAAAAGTTTCGAAAACATATTTCACAAGTTTATTGGCAAACAGCGAACGTTGTCCTCCGAGCACATTTATCTGCTATCATTTGCGTTTTATCTTATATTTATTCGTTGAAATGTTTCACAAAATTGCACGAAAGTTAAAAAAATATATATATCTGGTTTCTAACGCGACAGCAGAGAGTAAATCTTTCGAATACAAACGTATTAATCATATTTTCATGTACTTCGATATTAGATAATTAATGAAGAACTCTATGAAAAAATCTAATAATAAACTTTATATTTAATAATAGAAATTATTTTGTAAAATGAAAACACATAAATATTTTAAAACAACTTTTTCTAATATGAAAAATATTTTTTTTGTAGTAATCGAATAATATTACATAAACATATTTTCCAAGAATTTGTTTACGTTTTCTTTAAAGATTATTTTTTTCTGTTTTTCCCGTATTTGCTGTTAAATATAAATACATATGAATCTTTATACATAATAATACAATTAAAGAATGATTCATTTCCACTAAATAATTAAATGTATATTTAACTTCATTTAAATCAATCTATTGACGCAACAATCAAAAACATTACAATCAATATTGCAATAAACATAACATTTTCAAAAATTTTCTCCGAAATGTTTACCAAAAAATTATTTATAGAATCACATCATTAAATATGAATTGCAAATCCTTTTTTCTTACATTATATCCCGTTATTGATTCTTATGTTGTTTCCATCCCAATTTCCGAATTATTGATTGATATTGCGAGACTTATACCATTTTATATACACATTATGTAAATGAGTTTTTCTATGAGACATGAGCTTTTGCCATTAAACTGATTTGTTTAGATCATTAATAATAATAGAATTTAGCAAATATCACCAACTAATAAATTATGATTTAAATCATTTTGTTTAACCAATTGAAGAGTTAAATGACTTTTTTTCAATTGCAAAATAAAAATGTGTTGGATTACAAAAAAAATATATGTAACTTATTAGATAAGTGCGATTAGCAAACACGATGAAGCGTTGTCAGCTGTCCTCCAAATGTATTATCAGTTATCAATAAATATTAAATAATAATAATAACATTTATCGACAACAAACACAATATCCGTTGAACCTGCGGTCGCTCCGATTCAATAATATTATTTCCAATATTCCAACTGTTTTCAACATATTAAATTATAAACGAACACAATTTATATTGTGTTAACGTTGCGTAATGTTACCAATATTTATTTGTGTATTATTTAAATAGATTGATTGCTTGATTGATAAAATACGATCGTTAAGCAACAAAACTTGGATGGGTGAGAAGTATATTGAAATATAATTGCTGTTTAGATAAGCTATTATAAAATAATTATTCCACACTATTATTGTGATTCAATCGTTTACAAAATAGATCACAAATGCTGCTGTTTATTGTTAAGAAATCACGTTTTGATGTTTACATTAGAATTTGTTTTGAAAAATCACTGATGTTCAAAACAAAATAATTATCATTTAACAAATACATTTCATGAAAAAAAAAAGCACAATTAATAAATACAATTCACATTTGTCTTTACTTATTTTCTCAATTTATCTATTGAGTAAATTTGAAGGCGGATAAAATTAATTGGTTAAACTTTCCACGTGGATGCTTATGGATAAGTACGAACAGTTTATGAACCAAATCTTAATTAGCTTTGTACAGTTACGTGTTGGCAATACGAGTTTATGATATTGTTACAACGGTTAAGTTCTTGATCAGCTGTTCGCACATAAAGTATCAATTTTCATGATATTGCTAAAATTGTGTAACATTGCTAAAACTTATAATCTTAAGAAGTTGACTTTGTTTATTTGCTTAATATCTTTGTGGCAATTGTTATTAATGATTTGATCAGCTGTTCATGTCAAGATTGGCCAATTTTCAGTATATTGCTAAAACTCACGAACGTTATTATCATCATATTACAGTTAGGAAGGTAAGTTTGATTCTTTTTATATATATTTGAGGGGAAACTTGTAATTTATGAATAACATTAGTTTTAGAAAGTTCCACTCTCCCCATGGGAGAAATAGTCGGTTGGTATAAGTGAGTTGTGTCACCTGTCCTGAAATCAGAAGTGCGTTTGAACAAAGGAAGTAAGGAAGGAATAAAGTAAAGGACTTGAGAAGAGGATGATGGTGAATTCCTAAATATTTACAGTGATGCAAAGCACATGCCTGGCATCGGAATGGCGCTGGGTTGGTCGGTGATCGCGGGTCATGTGTGTGCGTGCATCAGCTGGCCGATCTGGATGATCATATGATCACCAAAAACAGAGACGGGTAAAAATAAATGGTGGCACACAGCTGCTGGCGCGGCGCGCGAACGCCACTGCTTTTATATTGGATTTAGTTGTAAAAGTAGGGCATGCCTCTGTGCTGCTCGCTGTGCCTCTGGCCGCTTGTAGTGAGGTTATGTTGATCGTATTATGGTGGGCATGTAGCGCAAGTTTAAATACCACACCATCGCAATGCCAATTGCCAGAAGAAGAACCAAGCACGAAGAAGAAAGGAAAACGTTAAATAAATAACCTATCAAAATAATAAATATACGTTTTAAAGAAAATGTTGTATTTGTATCAGTACCTCTTTCGGAATAGCATGTCGGGCGGATGTGGGTCTCGAGCTCATCTGCCGTGTACTCAACTTTATCACTAACTTTGGTCCTTTTCAAAGCTTTGCCCATATCTGTGTCCGAGTCGCCCTCAAAGAAACCGCTCTCTTTGGTCTTCTTGTGGCAGCGCATCTTCGGGTAGGCTGAGGAGGAGGATGTCCGGTCGCTGTCCACCTCAGCTCTGTCTGATCTCCTCGGAGATGTCTTCGTGGTGCTGTTCCAGCCCGGTGTTATCTCCTCATCTCCTCTCGTCTTTCCATCAAGCAACGATCAAAGAGACAAACGGCACATGGAGCGCAACGTCGCCGAAGAACGGAAACGCATAAGTCAACAATGTTGATGAGGAGGAATAGAGCGAGCGAGCGAGCGCCGTGTCCCACTGCGGTTATCCTCCAAGAAATAATCTATATTCAATTCACTTCAGTCACCAAAAACCACTGCACATGTACTTCAAATAATCCGTGTGTTGTGTGTTTTTTGTTTTAAATTTAATTCTATTACTGCTGAGCGCGTTGTTTTCAATGGACGCGCGACTTTCATTCAAGTTTGTTGTTGTTGTTGTTGTTATTGCAGACAAATTATCCTTTAAACTTTTCGCACTGTAACAGTTCCCCAATATATAATAACAACACAGCAACGAAGTAATAATAAACTGAGGGTAGTAACACTACTGTGTAATAATCCTGCTCTTCCTCCAGTTATTTGTTTATTTAACAATTTGTTGTATTAACTTTCTGCATTAGTTGTGTTGTTGATGTTTTTGTCACAAAAGTTCTCTTTCTCTTGGTCTCCGCAGTTGGTTGCTGCAGTTTAGACGAACGCAAACGTAACTGCCTCACGCCACGCGACTGTAAGTAACTGAATTCGACTATTTTCGCGTCTTGCATGCTCCCATGTTCTTGCTCCCCACCACCGCCGCCGCCGCCGCTCACCGAAAGCTCATTCTATCTGGCTTGTAACGCCGTCTCCGTCCCACCGACGGCCCGACTACCACTCTCCCTCTCCGTCTACAGCGCTCCACTCTCCCACTCCGTCGTCATTATGTCCGTATCACTATATCACTACAGTTACATACACATCATTTATAAACATTTAACGGCCTTATTAAAAATGTTTAACATTTTCGTTCGCCGCACAGACACACACAATTCGAACGGAATTTTACTTCCACAACACACAAAACGTAACGCGCACTCTTTTTGTTTTTCAATATCTGCTCTATTTATTTATTTATTTATTTATTTTCTTGTTTGTTTATTACTGACATTTAAATATGTCAACAAAGTTTTACCAACCATTATTTTTAACACGTATAATTTTTTTACAGGATATTTGCACTTATTTGTTTATCACTGACATTTAAACAGTTTTACCAACCAATTTTAAAATTATTCTTTAGATATACAGGAAATGGGTCTATATCGCAAGACCGTCTATTGAAAGCCCGACGTTCGAAATCCCGACATTCGAAATCCCGAGTGTATTGAAATCCCGACGTTCGAAATCCCGACTACCATAATCCCGACAATCGAAATCCCGACAAATTAATAATCGGGAAAAAGAGTCATCGACCTATTAAAATATAGTACAATAATTTAAAAATGTTATTGTAGAAATTATAATAATAAAAGACACTGTCGGAGATTTCGATTGTCGGGATTATGGTAGTCGGGATTTCAATACATCGGGATTCTGTGGGATTTCGAACGTCGGATTTCAATACAC